ATATTGTTGGTATATAATATTATAGTTAGGTCGTAATAATTTGGGTTTTTTTAACGAATTAGGGTTTTCCGCCAATTCGAGATTTTAGTGACCAATTTTTCATCGATTTAGTCAACTCTTTATTGCAGTCCATATATAATTATATACTTAATCCATAATAATTCTATGATTTCTTTTGTGTGATGTAAATTTAATGGTCAACACAAGTTCATACAGGGAAAGAACATCTCAATATTCATAAATTGATGAAAACAATGAAAGTTAATAATGTAGTACCCCCATTTCTTATTGGATTCCTAAAAAACAACATTTATAATGAATTTTAATAATTTTTTTGATTTTTTTTAAGGCTTAATCCGAGCGATTCGGCCTGATTCCTGATCTGGATCGTCGATTCACCGATCTGGATCGGTTTTTGGGATGTCCAATCCGGGTCGCCGATCCGTTTTTTAAACCACTGCTTTAGATAATTGGAAAATGGGGTTTATATGGGTCGTGGATTGTGAGTGTAAGCAGCAATTATGATTATTCTTTAAATAGTCTTCTTAGGTTTCCTTTTTATGTAGGAAAAATGCTCTCCGTATTGGATCGGCACTGGCTAGGTCCAGGCTGGGCCTAATAAGATTGAAAAAATAAAGAAAAATACAGGGAAGGGCCAGCCTGGCCATGGCTTTGGCCCAGGCCTTGCTTGACTCGACCCTCAGGCTATGGTGGCTAGGGGCTGGCATGGCCCACATGCCACATTTTGTGGCTTAGGCCCTACTTTTTCAGGGCTGGGCTAACTGGGCCCATTGCTAGCCCTACCCTTATATTTTGAAGAAAGGGTGGCCCATGGAACGTTTTATATCATCGAATATTTTTATAATTAGTTAATTGTTATAATCTTATTGTTTCTGAATTACTAGAAATAAGAGAATATAAATTATCTATTGTCAGTTCTCTAATAACTTATAGTCCTATACTTCATGGGTGGGGTTTTGTGAGGCTGTGGTTGCCTACGCTCTTTTTATTGGAGCTGTATTCACAACCCCCAGCGTAGTGGCATACCAACATGTAATAACCCACATTTCTTCTTGCAAAGTTCACCTTGAGAGCAGCTGGTTCTTGGAATTTCAGATGGCTTTCATCAAAATTCTTATTGTGAAGGTTCCACATCTTTGGAGTTAGGGTATTGATTCATCATTGAATCCTAAGATAACTTGAATTAAAGCCTCCACCATGATCCCTTCCACCTTTTTCATTGCTCTACGGCTACCAGCACATTCTGTGTTCTTGTTCCACGCAGCCTAAATAATAGTGTGAAATTTTTTTTGAGGAAAATAATAGTATTAATTTTAGTTTGTAATAAATTGAAACAACTCTCTCGGCTCAAGATCAAGCAAATTTAGAGAATTAACTTTCAACCAACAGCAATGATGGGTTGGCTATCTTATGCATCTTACATGAGCATGAAATGGCTGCCATATGCCTCAAATTCTTATATACAAATGATTACAAGGAAATAACCAAAATACCCCTATGTTGTGTTATAAAAATGTACAGACATGATATACATATAAATATTAGATTATGTCTTAACTCTTAACAGCACCTCCTTCCCCTAGTTTAAAATTGGGTTGTGAAAATTAGAGTAACTTCATTAGTGTTTTTCAGTCTCTAGTCAAGGATTTATTGCATATGTTGGCGATTTTGGTTGTGGGTGAGGCAAATTATTATAGAAAAGTTGAAATATTTGACCAACTGACAAATTTCCTAGAGTAGTCTTTCACTGATAATAACGAGTGTCAACCTCAACCCATGTGGTGTTTGTCTCATCATAGAATACATGATTGAATGCAGAAGATGTAACTTCGACACTATCTCTTAGGATCAACAACAAGATCAATCATATGGACCATAAGATGAAACTACCTCACTGCATGCAAATTGCATAATTCTATAATCAGCTTAAGCACTGAATTTGGATATTGTATCTTGCTTGTTGTTGTCAGCACTCAGCATAGGCAACTGATGCCCATTAAACAATGATAACAGAAGTGACCCCTCCTACATGTAGGCCTAATAAATCCAATAATTATATCTACTATAATGAGTTGTTACTCCTCTCAAAATCTTAGAGAACTCTACAAAATGTAAAATGTTTTAACATCTACTTAATGTGAGGAATGCCAGGTCTCATAACATAGTTGCTGGAACCTTGGGGGATAAGGCCACAGTCATAACTTAGGAACTCGATCCCGTGGTTCCTCTACAGGATTTTAGATGGAGCTGGGTTTCGAGAAATAGGGATCTTGTCAGTGTTACATAGACACCAACATGGGTGTCGTATCTTGTGCGTGTCTCAGCCCAAACAAAACCAGTACGGCACTGACATGTCTAAAATTAAAAAATCAAAGATATAAAAGTTTAAATATAAATTTATTATTTGCAAGCAAATTAAAATATAGACCATAATTTTATGTGAAAGAACTATTTCGTTGAACATCTTCCACAATTTTATAGGTAGATCCATTTACAATAAAATGCAATTTTAAAATTTAAATTATGAACCACAATTAAAATCTCTATTAGTATGATAATAATAAATATATATCAAATATATGCATAAACATGTATGATGCAATATTTTATTAGAGACTTTTTTGAATCTCATACATTAATATTTAAATATTTTGAGATTCCACTTCTAATAAATATATTGTGCATGAGAAAGTTCTTTTTATTAGTCTCTTTAGTATTTAAAAGAAGTGAGTTGTTTTATTAACCAATGTACACATGCTAAATTCATTCACATGGAGAATTGGGTTTTCAAGTAATAAATGCACTGCCATGACTAATAAATGCATTGCCATTTCTAATAAATGCATTGTTTTGCACTTTTAACCAGCAAGTATTATATATCTCCATATATTAGCACTTGTAGTTGGTGAGATGGTGGTTCATACTTTTGACATTCCTATCACAAGTTATGGGTTCAAGGTGAGCCTTCTTCGAAAAGAAAAATAAAAGGAGGATAAGGTTTGTCCAGATATCAGTCCCATTGGTTATACGTGTCGACGCAGAGTGTTGTTGCAACAAAGGTCACGACATGTGTAGATAAAGTATCGATAGCGTATCTGCCCGTGTTGACACGTGTCTCTATGTTGATATATGTGGACGCGCGACATAGGAAAACACTGAGGTGCCCATGAAACACTGGATCTTGCTCCTAATAAAATGGGATCTCTTTGCAGGATCCCTCCAAGAAGAGGAGCTATACTATTAATTGAACTACGTATCCTCTCCTTGGTATTATAGGTTTAGTTATTTAGAATATGTTAAACTCTAGTGCATATCACATCATGGTGTACTAGAATTATGGTATTAAAAAAAACGGCAGTTTAATATCATAGTAAGCCAATTTGTGATATTATTAAATTATATTATTGTAGTAAATTGGAGTACTATAACTATGACATAGGTAATAAGCTAAGGTATTTGATAATGGATCGAGCGGAATTGGCTTGATCCTAATATACTATTAATTGATCTCGCTTGATATATAGTGGAGCTTAGATCCCTTCAATTCAAGACCTCGATCCTAGTGGCATGGGGTTGCTCACCTAGGTATCTTATAGCTAGGCTTGTTGAATGTATAGATCATTGATTAAAAAAGCGGTCCATCCAGTGCCCGCCTAGACGGGCTTGAGCGCATCGCCCAGGCATGGGTGGACCAACTAGGCGGGCTATCAATGGGTGACCGCCTAGGGACCCTAGGCATTCACTTAGACGAGCGCCCAAGTGGGCGGGCTCACAAGAGACGGCGCCCTTGCCTTGGTGTGAAAATACCCATCGGGTGGGATATTTTGGTGTTCTTTTGTTTGGATTATAAAATTGGCGGTACCTTGGGCGGGCCCCCAAGGGGCTGCGCTTACGCCTAGGTGTAAAAATACCCATCATATGGGGTATTCTTGGTGTTTTTCAGTTTGGATTATAGACAAATGCATGAATACACATTTGTTATACAAAATCTAGACCTAAAACTGGATTAATGGACACCCCTTGCCCTCCTTTGTAGGGGTGCCCTCCTAGGCACTGGGTGGCCTAGAACCTCCTACCGCCTGGTGGTTTTGGAACACTGGTATGGATGCCGATCCTAAACCCAGGGAACTTCCACCATATGGCGGTTTGGCATTACCTGAACCGATCCAACTCACGAACCAGCTCCTAGCTCCAACAACTATGTCTCATAAAAATAATATTCGAAACACTCCCGCTAAACATCTCTCTTGTGCGAGGTCTAAAAATATATTTCCAATTCTTTCCATACTTCACGCTTGCTTAGAGTGGAGAGAGTTTTTAGAATCTAAACATGAGGCTGAGAAATAGTGTTCGTGATTCACTTTTGCTAAGAAGTTAATATAAACTAGATGACTTAGAAATTAGAGGATCTAGAAAATAAGTAAGTATGAAACAAATTTTATTTAAAAAATGTATCTCAAAATAATTCACATGAGGTATGGTGGTGACATCATTTTTGGTGATCATTCTGTTTTTTACATGACCAGAAGAACGATGACTTGAGTCTATAACTGACAAGGGTCATCCACATATTACCTTACAAGTTACACCTTCAATATAAATGATCAGGAATTCTCAAACCAGGCTGTGTGCTCTTGTTTAAGGGTGTGTTCGAATGGCGTATAAGTTGTTGATACCGCTAGTTTATACGTGGGGCCAGATGTTTTGGTGTTGGGTGTGGGGCAATGACCTGCAGCATATTGGCCCCATTTATATGGTAAGCATAGTGTCTAGGGATAAGGGCAACACGTACAAAAGAGCTGTTTTGCCCTTGTCCTGATTAAGGTGGTTTGATAAGCCAAAGAGTGAGCCCCACCCAAACACACCCTAAGGTCACATATTTAGCCTATTTAACTGATTGATTAAAGAGCAATCTGATAAATAGCTAGTAGGTGAGGCATAGGGATCTTCTCTTGTAAATCATCCTTAAGAAAAAGCATTATTAGCATCCATCTTTTACATGTCTCATCCACTAACTACAACCACTGATGATGATATCAAACTGTAGTAAGTTTGGCAATCAGACAAAACATTCTCATATTCAGTTCCATGTTTCTGACTGCATTCCTTTACCCCATTATGTACTAATCTTGCTATATATTTGTTACATGGACATCAACTTTGGGTTGGTGTTGGACTCATGCTGCAGGTGTCTGACATGGAGACCCAAAAGCCTTGAATTAGTGAGAAGTCTATAGAAAATTAAAAGAATATAAAAAAAGATAAAAGACAGGCAAGATAAAAATATATAAGTGTAAAAGAAAATCTAAAGAAAAAAAAAATCAAAGTCTTAAAAAATCTTGAATGCTTTATTTTGACACATCCCTTAGAGTGCCTTATTGTTCTAGGAAATGCTAGTTGTCCATGAATGCATGTTTTAGACTTCTGATGATGCATTTGAAAATTTTGGGAGTGTCTCGAGAATGTTTTTTTGGCAGTTCATCAGAAGGGTTCAGCACTTAGGACGAAGTGCTAGTGACATCATCTGCACTCTCATCAGTGTTTGACACTTATAAATATGAAAGTGTTGTCTCAGAAAGTATTAATGCATGGCACCACACCAGCACTAGTTGGCACGCATCACCAAATGAAAGAGGGAATGTCAGGGAAACTCTGCTTAATAGGTTTTATGAAGCTGATCTTATGATGGTTTTAACATAACTTAGTAAGGTTTAGTCTAACTTTATTAGTCCATTTATAGTAGGGAAACAATATCGCACACAAGTTAGTTCAATGGCATGCAGCAATTCGTCCATTGCGTCTTGCCTAATGAGCATCTCTAGTAGTTTCATTGTATATGGAGAGCCCCAAACATGCCTGAGCCAATGGTTGTAATCAATCCAAATGGTTGATATCAATCCAAATTGAACTTGAGGTATGGAAACACCAGAAGAATGAGGATGCAGATCATGGCAATGGAATAAATATCTGGTTCTAATGTTCTGGACATCCAATTGATGAAGCTGATGGTGAAGAGGTATCTAAGCTAAGCATTTAAGTCCCTTAGTGTTTGCTTCTTGCATTTGGATCCTTTCTAATTATCCAAATTGAGTTAGAAATTTATTATTATCTAATTGAAATATTGAATCATTAAAGACTCGATGATCACCAAAAGTACCTGGAAAAGGATGAGGACGAACTAAATTTTCTTTGATTTAGAGGGTTGTTGGAAAGTTAGGGATGCCTTCCAGAAAACTTACATTATGAGGTGCTGTTAGTCTTTGTTCTGAGGATTATAACAATGATATCCCTTTTGATTATCTATATATCCAAGAAATATACCGTCAAACTATATAGATAAATCTTGGAATGTCTATGCTGCACTAGAAGAACAAATAACACATAATTAAAAGCACGGATTTATTATAAGTCCTTTTTTTCCTGATAGATGTTCTATGATCAAGATTCCTCAAGGAACAAAAGATGGAATTGTGTTGATGAATAAACGGCACTAGTTACTGCCTCAAGTAAATGGTATATAACCATGAAAAGAAATGGTTTCTCAAACTATGATTTAGGCCCAGGAAAATACTTTGTGCCTTACTCCTTAACCCAATACACTTTTGGTCTTAAGGTGCTTTTCCAAACTATGGGTGTGGTCCACCAAAAGATTGATATCTAATGTTCATGGGATTGGATTTATGTTGAATATAGCATTACTGATTACTATATTTCTTCACTATCTACAAGCACATTTGGGTAGATGCAACGATTGTTGTCTATTCATATTTCTTCAGGATTTTCTTTGTCTGTTATACGTAACAAATGTTTATTGAATCTTACTATTCCAGGTCATTTGATGGAAAAGATAGAAGCTGAAAATCTCCTACACAGAGCCTTTAGTGTGTTCTTGTTTAACTCGAAATATGAATTGCTTCTTCAGGTATGCTAACATAATTTATTGTGAGAACATTGGAATGTGCATTCCATATCTGTGATTGGCTTCAACAAGGATGAGCAAGCATCTTGGGCTCTTTGAGTTACTAGAGTATTTCACTGAATATATCTAATATATTCCAACATAGTATAACTCATACATAATGGTCCCTCATTATATTGGACTATAAATTCATGACAATCGACATCAGAACCATAGTTGGCATTATTTACCTGCTGATAACGTTTTCCATAGGGATCACACTAAAATCTGAGTATTTCGGGAATCAAATATTATACATGTGACAATGCAGTTTGTTTCTAGGAAAGCACAGCTGATTACATTGCTAGGTCTTAGTCCTCTAGATTAGACATACTGATGCAGGAATATATGGCACTAAGTAATTGCTATCTTTGATATGTGTTGCAGCAACGCTCTGCAACAAAGGTTACGTTCCCCTTAGTGTGGACAAATACTTGCTGTAGTCACCCTCTATATCGCCAGGCTGAGCTTATTGAGGAGAATTCCCTTGGTATTTTGCATACTACTTTCAGCTTCTGGACTTGTGTCAAATTTACAAATTAGTAGAGGAGATGTCGTTGCTAACTAGAATCTCTCCCTCTCTCTCTCTCTCTCTCTCTCTCTCTCTCTCTCTCAGGTGTGAGGAATGCAGCACAAAGGAAGCTCTTTGATGAACTTGGTATCCCGCCAGAAGACTTACCTGTTGACCAGTTCGTCCCTCTTGGTCGTATGCTCTACAAGGCTCCATCCGATGGAAAGTGGGGCGAGCATGAATGTAAGTAACTATCTACATGAACCCTTGTTTATCCAAGTGAAGCATTTTGTGAGTTTTTCATGGAAACCCCCAATTCTGGTCAAAATCAAGGGAATCAGGACTGTTTTTGGCCAAAATTCATGGAATGTTGGAAATAGTAAGTGCACATATTAAAGGGGATTGCTATTTGACCCTAACACCTTTGTGAAAATTTGGCCAAACCTCGTAATTCCTTGTTCCCAGCCATGTTTTGGATGGCTATATGAGACATATTTGCACATAGAAATTTTTTATCAGTGCACATAACCTTATTTTGAAGCAGAAAAATATTCACTACATCTTACCATAATTTGGCCAATGTTCTGAATCTTGTCCATTATTTTTAATTAATCAATTATCCTTTTTAATACAGTAGTGAGATCCTTGGTTTCTCTTTGCTGGTGACTTCAAATTCTATACCAACTCCTTATTTGTTAAGAGCAACTTTTTATTTGGTTTATTTCTCGGTTCCAGTGGATTATCTTCTCTTCATAGTCCGGGATGTTACTGTACAACCAAACCCTGATGAAGTGGCCAATGTCAAGTATATGAATCGAGAGGAGCTGCAAGAGCTTCTGAGGAAAGCTGATGCTGGTGAAGAAGGTATCAAGCTTTCTCCCTGGTTTCGATTGGTTGTGGATAATTTCCTACTTAAGTGGTGGAAACATGTGGAGAATAGCACTCTCTTAGAAGCCGTCGACATGAAAGCAATCCACAAATTGACTTGAGGAAGGGAGTAACAAAGCTTGTTAGCTTTTAACATGTTTTTGGGCTGGTTTGAAATTGGAGTAATCAAGGAAATCATCAAAGACAAATAGAATAATCAAGCATTTTTTTGGCAAGAGGGAGAGATGGATGCATGTTTTGGATCATGCTTCTCTTGTTGTGCTATTTTTTGTCCGTGGTTTTGTGTCTGACACTGGAATGGTAGTTGAAGTTTGCTTAGTTCTCATGTTTGCATTTGTAAGAGATTCAGGGGCTTGTTTCTGGGGATTGTTATCTTTCTTTTGTGGTGGTGATTGTTTAACTAATTGGTCTGCTGTGGCATTGTGATGTTCTATGGCTCTTGAAATATAACTGAAAATGTAATGCTGATGTCCACATGGTTACTGGCCTTTGTAATTGACCAGTTAGGGACCGATCACCTAGCCAGTTTTAGGTTTTGAGTTTCCTCTGAAGTGATTGATTTCTCATTATTCATAGGTAGTTGATCGTACAATCATAGGGCCTAAATTCTCTCTCTTTCTCTTTCTCTCTCTCTCTCTCTGAGGCAGTGAATGTGTGTGTGAGCATTGCAGCAAGAAATGTTGTTCCTATTCAATGCAATGATCACCATCGATCAATGAATTACTCAACATTTTCAAACACAATCCTTCTCAACAATATTATTTTCCATATTTAAAAGGATATTTAAAAGAGCATTTCGATGGAATTTGCAAGGGGTAAATATATTGCCATTGGGGCGATGCTTCCCCTTAGCCAGCAATCTCAAGCCTAAGTCAATAACGCAAGGCAAGTATTTCACAAACACAAAAAAATGGAAGACAAATATAAACAAGAGGATTGGAGCAAACAATGTAATGCACAAGTTATACGCAAGGACTTATTGCCCAGCTATAAATACCATAAATGCTCCTCAAGAGTCCAGGTAAAAGGTTTCTGTGGACCTGTAGTATGCACTCACATACACCCTCATTACTATATTGCCCATTAAGGGGCTTGGCACTTGCGTATCACCTGGTGTCGTAGTTGCATGATCTTGCGCTCTAGCATATCTATTAAGAGGGATTAAAGGTATGGTAATACCGCTCTATTGGTAAAGGGTGGGATTAATGGTATGGTAAACCCCTTCTATTGGTAAAAAGAGTGGTTTGTATAAAGTTGAGGTCCTAAATAATCAAAGTAAGAAACACCTAGAAATACTGTGAAAGACGTTATTTCAGTTTGAAATTTTGTGGTGGCTTAAAAATTTATTTATTTATCTAATTATAAAATTTAAAGCTTCAAAAATAGTGTATATTGAGTAGATCTATGAATACTTGATAATCTTGAAAATTGACGGTCCAAAAAATGCATTACGAAATGCACTATTTTCAAGACTTGATATCCAATTTTTCTCATATTCATTCATCTTGAGGTCGAGATCATCATTTTGAGCATCAAAACAACCTCTTCTACTGAATTTTTGAGACGCACCTTACCCTTATATGAACTTTTTCATTGCTAAATACTACCTGTGTGTTAATTTATGTATGCATAGTTATCATATAACGTTTTAATAACAATGCATCCCACTACACGTACATTCGCCCATTCTCACATGGCTTATGGCTTGCACAAGACCATGCCAATGGTAGTGGCACATTTAAAGTTGACCATTATATTCAACACACTTACCCATCACCACCATAAATTTGACAGCCTCGTTAGACACTTGTCATCAGCGTTTAAAAAAACGCCGAGTCAAACCGGACTCGCCCGGTTCAACTCGGAAATCGTGAAAAGGGATCGGATGGCCCAAAAAATCGGAAATCGTCCGGTTCTAGAGAGAACCGGACGATTCTGTACAGTGAATCGCCAATTCACTGTACGGAATCGGCGAGTCCGAACAGTGAATCGGGGATATTGTACGAAATTTTTTTTTTTTTTGTAATCCATGATAGATTTTTTTGTAATACTTGATCGATTTTTTTGTAATCCATGATCGAATTGTTTTTGTTTTTTTGTAATCCATGATCGAATTTTTTGGTTTTTTGTAACCCATAATAGAATTTTTTGTAATCCATAATCGAAATGTTTGTTTTCTTTTCTTGTAATCCATGATCGATTTTTTTTGTTTTTTTGTTTTTTTTTGTAACCCTATGATTAGAATTTTTTGTAATCCATGATTGAATGTTTTGTAATACATGAT